CGATAACAATAAACCCGATCGCAGACATCAACTAGTGTGTACGGTTGATCAATAATTTTACGATCAAAAACGACGTGCGCGCATTTTATCGGACTAATAAAAAAGTACGATGCGTAGGTTCGCGTATAAGCAAAGAGCTTGAAGCCGAGCTGGCCAGCCATAAAAAATTACAGGTACGTAGGAGCAAAATGAAAATTCCCAGCTCTCAACTATACAGTAACTTTTCAGGTTTCAATTAAAACATTAAGACTGGATTCTGTATGCACGAGACACGCAGTAGTCCTAACCGAGCTCCCTGCTCTCAGGTCATACTGGATTCTGGTAAGCAGTTGCAGAACGTATACACTATACATGTATTTATCTACATGTGTCATTGCAGACGATACTGCACATGACTGCGTCTGCGGCTCTCTGTAAACGCGCGCGTCACGCGCTGTTAGCGATGGATCTACAAATTATGGATAGCTGCTAAATCTGAGAGCTACGCGAGTGCTGCTGTTTATGAGTGACAATTTATCCTTAGGACCACGCTGGAACAATAATTACGAATGTCAACATTTGATGCGGATAAATCGTAACTATACGTTACCGCAGTCTTCTCTGTAAGCTTATAGAAAATAAAAAGTTAAAAAAAAATTTTTTATCAACTACCTGAACTTTGTACATTTATGAACGTAGCTGATATGTCATGGAAAGCGTTTGATAAATAGTGTCAAGCCCCAATCACAAGAGCAAGGTCATATTTTCAAAATCTTTTTCACAGTAGTCTCAATAACGATAATAATCGTATTTTTTATTATATTTGCAGTTGTTTGAGTCACGCTTTGCACTGGATATATATCGAACATAACACCTCTTTGTTAGGCTCAGGCTTGTGCGTTCAGGCGCGAGTCACTCGCCCATCCAACGAACATTATGTATAATGCAGTTGAAAAAATTGCTGCTGTGGCTACTGCTGCCACTGCTGCTACTGCACTGGATACGTATATAACGAAGGCAATTTGCACAAAAAAAAAATTGCGTCACGGACGCGCAGGCCGATTCTCTACTTCCTCATCACGCTCCATGGATTTTGTTAACGCAAACGTATCGACTGTATAAATACACGGCTAAGTAGAAAAATTGACTCGTTTTCTGATCGATTGTTATTTTTTAATTTTTTTTTACTTTAGAGTCCCGGTGAATATGAATTTCGTACACATGCACCTGTATTTGTACACACGAATTTTCTCACATATGTGTGCAGACAGTCGGCTTGGAGCGAGTACAAGGCTATTCGTGATCTTTTTTTAGCAAAACTCTTTACTATGCATAAACCCAACATGTATACATGTATATGTATTTGCTTTTATTATTCTCTCGCTGGTCTACCAATCTACTCAGCTTTTTTATTATATACATATTTTGTTCTTCGCAAAGAGCACGCAGCTCTCAACGTTTTGTTTTTGAGAAGTAATCGGTAAAACTTTACTGCTATGCTACTTACAATCATTGCAAATGAAAACAAATAGGCTCGTGTTATCGACACACGTTAATACTCCGATCGATGTTTTACCTTACCTACGGTTATATATGAATTAATAAAATAGACGTCAAGCTAATAAATACAATTTTGAAACAAGTATATATATACACATATTTGAAACGCTTTTTGCATTTTTTTTCTACATAGAATTGTGTTATCGTGTCTGCCTTCAGTTTCGATTGTTAGTCCGCTTTCTGGCGGATAGTCAGTTATCGAAATTTGCAACGTAAACAATTATTTATAATTTTGGAGTTTAACCTAATTTATATAACTGTAATTCAAATCGAAAGTGAAAAATGAATGAGTAAACAACGCACTGCATGAAAAATTCAAGTTCTCAACAAATTTCATGTGGCCAAGGATGTTCGATTTGCGCCATTGAAAACATATATACGTAATGTATTCATATGATGATGTGAGTACAATCAAGCTTATCTTCAGTCAAGTACTTGTATTATTCTCTTTTTGAATACATAACAAAAAATCACAGCTTGTAGGCAGTTACACACGGACACATAAAAATACAAATCGATGCTTTGCTAGATGGAGACGCTTTTTCGCACGTGAACCACCGATTGCAGACATATTTGATGTACATTATATGGTGAACGTTACATAGTTTCGATGATCATACGCAACACTGTAAGTGACGAATACCATCAAGTATTAAAAAGCATCGTGTAGTATACTTTCATGAATGTTATATTATACTTCTCTCGCGCACACAGAAAGTAAGCCTGAGCGCGTATACATACATAGGCTCTAGCAGTAGCTCCAACGAGCTATCAAACTTCGAACTTGACCGGAAAACCACGCGAAGCGATCGATAGTCGTATATGCAGTGCGCGGGCGAGAGAAAGACGGTGACACTTGCTATAAAGCACGTCCCTCGAGCTATAAGCGGATTCGTCCAGGATTGACACTGGCCGTAATGATCGCCTCTCGACAAATGCTTATTTTTTCACCGACGAAACTGCAATCATTCATTGACGTTTCAAATTACTTTGTTATAATGATGTTTATTTATAGACTTTAATATCTATATTTACACGAAACTTATAATGACAATGAAAGAGCTGCAGCGTGCAATTGAATATTAAGTAAGACTTTGTTCGTAAAGGCTGGTGAGTGATTGATTGTTCAAAATGTTATTATTTTCTTTAGTAAATCACAAATGAGAAATCGATTTGATTTTCTTAAAAAAATTTATTAAAATGATTATATATAACTGAAGAAAAGAGTTGGAGCTATTGATCAATGACGTTGAATAAAATTCAATGTAAAATTATTTTCTATCTCAAAAAACCACTCAACAAATCGCTTTCCAATTAAATCTTGAGAAAAAATATCTCGGCTTTGTGCATAATAAGATTTATTATGAAGTAATTAATGATGGGATTGCTACCTGAAAAACGTAAATGACTCTAAAAATCTTACAAATCTGTTGAAAATGAATATATAATACGCGAGCTATGCAAACAAATTTTTATACCTTTATTATGTTTATAAAAAAATTCGAGAAAATTTTATGTCCTTATAGTCAGTACCGTGGTTACATCGTCGAGCTTGTTCATCTCGTTGGTTAATTACGACATTCATCAATTATTCGACTCTTTTGTAATACAATTGTTGTATTGTATACGGATTGACGGATGCCACTTGAACGCAATTATAATTACCAAATCACCATTAGCTCGATGCAATCCATGCATATTTTTATACTTCAACTTTGACGATAATTTTAACTTTTTCAGCAAGTGTTATAACTACATTGATCGTTGTAATTAAATTCTAGCCCACAAAAGTGAAAAATGTAACCTAAAGCAATATTTATTAACGCAAATCTGTGGTGATGTGTCACCTTGAGTTCTGTCATTCGTATGCCAACATAGGATCTAATTACAAGGAAAGTTTAAAAGCGGACTTGATATAAAGCAAGTAGTTATCAGCTGACATGTATTGCCTGGGGTCAGTGACCTAGTTTGGAAAAATACACATTTATTTGCTCCAGTATTGCTAGTGTAGATTGTCAAAACATCTATAACATCAAACGGAGAGAAAAGATGAAAAACTACACATTTATTGAACATAGCCGATTGTTTCATAAATTACGAACATGTTGGTTAGTTATAATCAACGTTTGGATTTAAACGATTTATAAATAGATTTGCATGTTGACCAAAATTAGAAAACATAGACTAAAATTGACACAATTATGTAGAAAAAAATAGCTTTGCCTCTGAAAATGATGTATTATTTTCGCATTATTATACAATTGATATGATATACTTGTAGATGATGAAAAGGACAGTTTAAAGGGCGCAAAAAATTAACTAGAATCATTATTCTTAAGGATGTTTGAAATACTTTTCTATAACCTTTACGCTCCTAAAATTTCTTATTCAAACTGCCGAAAATCTTTGATGCAGGGCATTTTTAAGTATCAAAAATTTATTGTTTAACGTTATTACTTTTATAATTATGAAAAATTTAATTATAGTACAAGAGAAATGTACATAATTACTATTTATATTGAAGAAATAAAAATTAGCGGTTAAAGTGACTCTTTACAGGGCTTAAAGTGCATGAAAAACAAAATTATATCGATAAAAATTATATCAATGAAAACGAACTATCCAACTATTATTTTGTAAACTGTTCTGAAAAACATACGCACTCTAGAGAATTTTTCATCCTTTCTCGAGCAGCTTGTTAATGAAATTTAAAATAAAATAATCGAGTACTTAAAAAAGCCCCGAAAAATGTTTGAAGTAGTGCAAACAGAAGCGCGCGCGGCAATGGTAGTAGTAGCAATAGTTGTAGCAGTTTTAGTAGTAGCGAAATCAGGTCACGCTTTCATCAATCACACGAGCCCTCTTTCTCCCTCTTTTACTCCCTTGAATACAACATGACAAAAAAACCATTGCATCGAATACAGCATCTTTTTCTGTCTCTCGCTCTCTCATATCGTAACTGTGTCACCGGGCGTTTTATACTTACTCGCACACACAGAGACTCGAGCTCGTAGTTTTGCAAAAAGCGCAGCAGCAGCAGCAGCAGCAGAGCAGGGCAGAGCGTAAGCGTTGTGACTCCCACACAAACGCACACACGCACGCGCTCACCCACTCACACACATTCGCAAGCATACATACACATACATGTTGATGCACACGTTCATAGAAACCAGCTCGATAAGTAGAGGTAGCAGCGGCATCTGCGAGTGCACGCGAACTTCTCCTCGAGCGCTCGAAAGCCCCACCTCGTGAGCGGTGTACATATATACACGAGCAAGAGCAAGAGAGAGAGAGAGAGAGAGAAAGAGAGAGAGGAGGAGAGAATATCTCCCCGGGACCCGTGGCTGCTGCTCCCACCTCGACAACTGTATGTGTGCACGTTTAGAGTGTGGCGGTGGTGGTATACACGGTGGCACATGACACCCCGCTCGCCGTTATCACGCTTCAGTCTCGCAGCGGCACTCGCGAGCTGAGCATTATTAAATAGAGTCGCGTGGCTGTTTCTTCTTATACATATATATACATAGATATAGAGTGCGTAAATGTATATATAGACATATACATATATATACACAAACCACAAGAGTAAATGTGTGTAGATTTGGACATTATTCATGGCTTATGTACATCATTATCATTAGAAACGACAAAACAACGTATTTTCAGCTGGAAAGTACGAATTTAGTCTCTTCCTTCAATCTGTCAAGTCGACAAAGTATCTAACGAATCTCCGTTTAAGCTACAGTCAGTTGAGGTCAGCAGTTAACTTCAAATCGAATAAGCCACGTAATCGTCGCCCAATTTATTATTAAAAAGTAACGTAAAATTGCAGCGTGTAAAGAGCAGTTTCCATCGGTCAGTGCAGTGAGTGCATGTTTATAATAACGGATCGTTACCGTTAAAGGTGTACGGGGAGATAGCAGCAGCAGCAGCAGCAGAGACAAGAAGATATAATTGTTGGTGTGTCCGTGCGTGGGTTCGCTGCAGTTTTCACGCTGATCACTTCGTAGACAGCATAATACATATTAATAACATATAAAAAAATCGATATTTGTATCTATATACATGTGCATACATAGATATATGTTCGTTCACCTTGTCAGTGTATTAATGAAGAACCTTGAATCGTCGCCTGCTTCACAATTTCATCGCAGCTTCATTTTTTTACTTTTGTAACAAGATAATACAATATAATATATAATATATTAAATAATAAATACAAGTACATTTGTACATACGACAGACAAGTAATCATCCAGCGAGTTTATTAGTACAGAGAGACGGAAGAACAAGTAGAAGAAATTAAAAAGGAGCAACGTGACAGTTACACGCTACATACACACATACATGCATACAACAATCCGAGTTCCTCATTGTTATGATTAATTATCAAGTTACATAATACGAGAAATAAATGAAAAAAGCCTGCTGCATCTCGACGATTCAAACTCATTCGCATACACTGTTATTGTTGTCAACGCGCGAGTGAGGTAGCATTATTGTTTGCAATACAAATTATACCGCGTGTGTGCATTCGACGACGACGTTTCTTACAACGAGTGTTGAACGGCATCGGCGGCAGCATCAGCAGTAGCACGTCCTTGCGTCGTCATTGCAACTTGCGACTGCAACAACTACTACCACTACTATTATACTACTACTACGATTACTACTACTACTACTACTACTACTACTACTACTACTACTATCTTCTCTTCTACTACAATTACTACTACAACTTCTCCTACTATTACTACTACTACTACTACGACGGGGCTTGTCTGTATACCGATTCAAGTCGAGTTCGAATCAGTGTATGTGCGCGAGCGAGGTTACCACTAAAGTTTACAGATTATTTCGAACTCGTGTTTGTGTGCATCCAACAATTGATCTTTGGAGTTACGTCATCCTCGCTATAGAACAGAGAAAAGGGAAAAAGAAGAGCCTGGCCCAGTCTATCATTCTTCTTGACACAATATTCCACGACTGTCTGCCTTCGCACACGTATACAGGTGAGCCGATTTTTTTTTTTTTTTAAGTTCTAGTCTTAATTACGTACGATTTTTGTTCGATTAAACATCGACAGTCGGACGCGTGTCTACGTTGATGCCTCTGTATGTGAATTTTTTAAGCGCGCGTGAAATATACATTTATAAATTTATACATCTATATATAATACGCTCAAATGTCTATATATGTAGCTCGAGTGAGTAATTTTAGCGACGCCAAAGATACTTCTTCCTGGATGTGAAAATAAATGTGTCTTTTCTACTGCGCAGAGAAAGAGTGAAAAAGCAAGCAACCAAAATTCTGATTAAAACGTCTTCCTTTTATAGCAATATACATAAGCGCAGAAAATGTTAAATTCGACCGCTAGGCGCGCGTTTTCGACGACGTCTTGCATAATTCAACGACCAAATTATCAAGAATAGCCTCGTCGCGTTCGATTTGTCATACATCGAGCAAACGAAAGTCCGGAACGATGAAAAAAAGTGCAGCGCCCTTACAGCGAGGAATGCTTGATTAGCAGCGGCTTTGATTAAAGACCGTAGCAATACGTATGGAGCGCCCAAGTCATTGATATCGCGCTTGCGTCGATAGTTTTTCAATTGGCCACACGGAACGTAGTATCTGTCCAAATACAAGCGCGTGTAAATATAAACTCTCGAACGCCGTGTGCGCACGCGTGCCTACATAAACCGAATGAAAAGCCTGCGGGAGAGATAATTGAGCGCGTAAATTATTGGATGGCAATTTAGCGTAGTGGAGTCAGAAATATATCGCGCTTGTGTGAGTGCGAGTGCGTATTATATCGTATGACTCGGCGGCTTCGTCGACTTATTCGACTATTGTCAAAGCTTGAAACTTTTTCCAACGCTGGCGTGACGCGCGCACGGCTCTCGAATACCGCCGGTATCTAGTCTAGACCGCATCGCTCATTACTTCACTCCCCGCGAGCGCATACGAATTGATAAAAGTCCATACAAGCCATAAACGATTGATAAAGTGAAAGAGAAATTACACAATTCGACATTTACGAGGATATACTTGTTGTTTCTTCTTGCAGCTATGTATAGTTTACGTAAATGCAAGGTCACGCAGAGATTATCGACATTACTGGCGCTGCACTCGTGCGACACAGAGCAGCTCGCGCGCACATTGGAAAAATTTGCTCTTGCAGCGCGTTTATTGTTGAAACTCACCCATTGACAGCAACCTAACTCTGACTGTGTAACAATGTATATACGCATTGCTCGACATGGCGCGCTTTATCTCCAGATCCGTATCACGCGATTGGCGGCAATTCACGCTACTCCGCGAACGATAAGGATTATTTCATATTTTTATATTTTATCGGAGCTCTTGCGCGCACGCTCGCACGCAGTCGCGACGTAAAATGTCAAACAGCCTGGCGCTGCTCCGATTCTCGATCGTTCTCGCAAGAGCCAAAGATTATCTTCTGCGGCGAGCAATCGCCCCGTTCTGTTGGTGCATGCCTAACGCGCGCCGTGTAAAAAAAATTCTATGTCTCCGCGCACCGATCGAATTGCTAAATATCACAGCTCCCAGCGCGCCCAATCACATGTGCAAGCCAATTGACATTTCGACCATTTACCCTCTAATATTTTAGTTTAATTCGTATCGTTTTTTATAAGCAAGATAAAACACACTGCCATAGTTTTAATTATAGTATGCAGGTTGCACGAACGAGAATAACGAGTATTGATATGAAATTTCGAGCTTGTTACATATTTTTACGCACGCACAGAGGCACAGATGCGAGGACACTTACAATGCCAACGGCAAGGGATTTTCTCGTTATCATGATTTATGGGACTTGAACAAACTTGGCCTACTTGGTAATATCTTCATCGTATTTCATCCTGAGATAAGAGTGCTGCGTCCCCACTGAATTACCTTTATGTTAAAGACTAGCGTTTACTAAAATTTTAAACTGCAGTTTGATGCTATATTGACCGCGTGTCGTGTTCTTTGCTGAGTATACAAGAAAGCAAAGTCGCAGCAATTGTGACATTAAGCTCGGCGCGCATATATTTTTTATAGTGACTCGAAGAGACGCGAAAAAACAGCGATGAGTATCGCATGTTCACGCACTCGCTTCCAGCTGAGCTCACAGTGCCATATTTACAAAAAAATTCAATGAGTTCATCCTATGCGGCCAGATATAAACAAAGCTAATAATAATGATACACCGAGTCGCGATGACGCATTAACTTCCCTACTGTATGTAGTGTATCTTCAAAATAACAAAAATATTTTTCACCTCCAAAACTAGACGTGTGAAATCAAAAATTCAAAAGCTCGAAAGTTCGAGCTTGCCGTATTGATTTCGTTTATAGATGGACGCTAATATTTCAATACAAACAACGTCATTCAGTCATATACACATATATACAGCATTTCACTTTCGCACTCAAGGAGTACTCTTGAAATGTTCGCGAGTTATAACCAATGAAAAGTATCAAATTTAATTTTATTGGAGCCAGAAATTTAAAGTCGTGCAATTTTTGTATAAACAGCTGTGTAATGCAAATACAGGCACACTGCAGCATTAGGGACAAAAATTAAGGTCTACACGTAACAATAATCTAGTAAAAACACCTACACCGTGATAATGCATAGCAGCGAGCTTACGGTCGTCGTGGCATGTATGACGAGGCAGTGGCTTTGCAGCAGCGCACTAACTCCCGGGCTAGCCGCAGCTCGTCGTCCTCTTGTAAGGTCATCGAGCTATAACGCCACGGCGGCAGCGGTTCTCTTCTGCCTCCTATGTATAAAACATGACTAGTTATTTTTGTGATACGAGCTCTGCGCGCGATAATTCAAGTTCAAAATTATAATGCAACGAGAAATTAATCATTCGTTATTTTCCGAGTGTTTGTATTTTTTCAGCTCGGAAGCAGCAACATCAGAGACCTCGTATTAATAAATTATTTTTTTATTAAATAAGGATACCTTGCCGTATATAGGTGAGATAAAAGAGAATCATTTTTCATTGCACTTCGCGCGTAGCCAGCAAGGCATCTATCAAATAGATATGAATCTCACGAATTCTATTTCAAATGTAATGAGTGGCAGCTTTTTCTAGGTTGAGCCTTGTACTTTTACCAAAGTGTTCCATTATTTGAGTTGTCAATGTTACAACAGGCACAAAGTAAAACAAACTCATGAGACCGATTTCTCGACTTTGGCACGAAATGAAGATATTATTGCGCACTCGGAGCAGTGGAAAAGTTTCGTGAAATTACCTATACAGAGTACCAAAAGCGAATAACTTTCAATGAAAATTATACAACATGATATAATCCATTACATTCTCAACAATTTTGAACAAACTTCCATTTCCTAAATAAAACCATTAAATAAACACTACTCTTCGAAATCGTAGTTGAGCTAATTTTTTCAAATACTGACTGCAAGTATTCGACGAAAAAAAATGTTTACGACTAACTGGAAGAAAATTCTTCCGATGGGTTTAGCTGCATATATGAATATAAATTTGTTCAAGCCTTTTCATGCGAGCATTACAAGTTTCCCAAATTGGAGAATCAGCTCAAAATCGCTGTGCTAGCTCGAACAGCACATTTCCAAATCTGATTTTTATCGCTCTCTGATTCAGCCTCATGCATCTGCAATGCGTATTTTTCACGATCTGATCGTTGAATTTTACTTTTAATGTCCAAACCTTCGGAAAGTATTGATAAAAAAATAGTTATTTTTACTTTAATAGTTTGTATGTTCTAAAATAGCTTGTAAATAAAAAATTTTTTAGACATTTTCACCAACTTTAGTCAATCACATAATCCAAGTCTTAATGCTGTTGCACTGAAAGTTCTCGTTTGTCAATGTCAATTATGTCGATTTTCAGTTACAGAAGTAATTTATTTCTCAAAGCTGAAAGTCGAAGAAGAATAAATAACACTTTTAAAACGAAAGAACAAAATTTTCACGAATTTTCCAAGAATGAAATGAAATAAATGCAAGATTATAAATCATAGCTTGAGGCGCAAAATTAAATTTTCAAAGGCACGGTAGAAAGGAAGAGGTGACGACCAGTGCTGGGCAACGCGCGAGTGACTCGAAATTTAAGTTACGATCATTCCATCGAAGCTCACGCAGTTTTTACTCTTTCTCCCTTTTTTACATATGCCAGGTCTAAATGAGACATCATAGCCTCGTGGAGCACTCAATTTGGCGCTGCGCGAGATTTGACCTACTTTAGACTCTAGTAAAACTTTTCTTACTTTCTTCCTGCTCATGTGTACTATGCAATATGCAATCGTCATTACTTGCAAACATTCTTTCTTCTATTTTACTTGGATGATTGAATTTTTATCTTTAGAACAGTTTTTTCTTACAAGACTGTTTAACACTCTTTCTTTTACATAATGCTATTTACAATTTAAACCCATTTCGATAAAAATTTTTTCAATTCACATTTAAACATACAATTGGGTAATTTAAAAAGACAAGCGAATTAACCGTTGCTTGTAATATTTAATAAGATAACAGTAGTAGCAACATCAGCTGTAGTTACTGAGTGACACTTCTAATTTTCTTCATCGTTTTCTCTGCAGCGCTACGATGATTGCCAACACTTCTCTACCACTACACTTTTCTTGCAGTTGCAAAAATAGCAAGTGCGACGCAATGACTCGCCTATTCGGACTTCTGCATGCAGCTGCTGCAGTCATACGTTTTAGGCAAAATTCTCGCTAACATTAAGCGTCCAGGGCCAAATGGCTGCTTATGGGTACAGTCCCAATGATTATCAGCTTAAGTAATGAGGGTTGTATTGGAAATAAAAGCGAGCTCTGAACCTACAATTCGCCTAGTGGTATCGATACTGTCAATACAAAATGCTCTTGTGATTTCAGTCGACGTGGTTGAAAAAATATCACTCTACCGCTTACTAATTAATAAACTTTTTATGGGACTGCTTTGAAGCCAAGATTTTCCAAAATTCACTTCCAAAATAACACTAAGACAT